TGGTGCATCCCTAGTTAACGGTATCTGATAACAGTCGCACATAGACTGCTTACTACTTTCTGTAGGACTGAAAGCTTGGACATGATATGGAAGACACCAAGGGGTAGATGTATTAAAACTGGTGTACTCAGAATCTGGTGCAGCTGTGCATGGTAGCCAATCAGCTTCTAACCTAAGCTTGTTCTATTAAGCTTTGGTGCTAAAATCTGGAAGCTGATTGGTTTGTAGCAGGGGTGGACTAACCATTTGGAAACTCGGGCATCGCCCGAGGGCCCGGAGTCAGCCCATGAGATGCCCCTGGTACCATTTTCATAGGCTTTTTTGAGTTTAGGCAAGGACACAGGGGCCCCATGATCCCCTATTGCCCGGGGGCCCCATGAGTTGTCAGTCCGTCCATGGTTTGTAGGCAGGATTGAGCCTGATTTTGAACTCTCCAGCTTTGGTAAATAAAATATCTTACTCCACCTTTTGAGCAACTGGAGTTGATTTTATCTGGTGTTAACATAAACTTACCTTGTGTGCTCAACACCATGACTGTGTTGGTAACACATTTACCATTATTGGGGTGCCTCATTCTTCTGGGAGGTTTTGCCCGCAAACTGTTTCTTTCAATGCACAACATTACACTACAGTATATTATATACATTTTGTATTAGCCAGAGCAGTTGTACTTGCACTCATACAGTATATTGGTCTGTGACTATATGAGTTATTTTGCTTCCTCAACTCCATGACTTTATTAGTTACATCTTTACCATTACTGGATTGACCACAAGGGTTTTTTGATTGCAAAAGGTTTCTTTGGGTAACCTTGGCTTGATGTTTTTTTGTAGCTTCCCCACAGCTGGAGAGCTGAGATTGCCTATCCCTGCTGTGTTGTATTACATTTAGTATTAACCAGAACTGTGGTACTTTTATTCATATATTGGTCTTGTGTGAGTTATCTTGTTTCCTGAACTCTGTTACTTTATTGGTGACTCCTTTTCCAAGATTAGGGTTGGACTCCAATATTAGTAAAGGGTTTTAGCTGCAAGCGTTTTCTTAAGTTCCACATCATCATGTCATATTACATGTTCTCCCTGTGCCTACATGGGTTTCCGCCGAGTACACCAGTTTCCTCCCACACTCCTAAGACATGCTGGTAGGGTAACTGGCTCCTGTCTAAATTGGCCCATGTATGTGTATGTATGAACGTAGGTTAGGGACCTTAGATTGTATGCCCCTTGAGGGTTAGGGACTGATGTGAATGTACAATATATATGTAAATCGCTGCCAAAATTAAAGGCACTACAGAAGTACCTGAAATAAATAAATAATAAGTAAATAATAGAAGTTGCCAACTGTCTGCAGAGTCGATAGCTAAAGACCTCCAAACTTCATGTGGTGTTCAGATTAGCACAACAGTGTGTAGAGAGCTTCATGGAATGGGTTTCCATGGCCGAGCAGCTGCATCCAAGCCTTACGTCACCAAGTGCAATGCAAAGTGTCAGATGCAGTGGTCTAAAGCACACCGACACTAGACTCTACTGCAGTGGAGATGGGTTCTTTGTTGGGGACGAATCACGCTTCTCCAATCCAATGGACATGTCTGGGTTTGGCAGTTGCCAGGAGAACTGTACTTGCCTGACTGCATTGTGCCAAGTGTAAAGTTTGGTGGATTGGGGATTATGGTGTGGGGTTGTTTTTCAGGAGTTGGGCTTGGCCCCCTAGTTCCAGTGAAGGGAACTCTTAAAGTGTCAGCATACCAAGACATTTTGGACAATTTCATGCTCCCAACTTTGTGGGAACAGTTTGGGGATGGCCCCTCCTGTTCCAACATGACTGCATACCGGTGCACAAAGCAAGGTTCATGAGTTTGGTGTGGAGGAACTTGGCTGGCCTGCACAGAGTCCTGACCTCAACCCAATAGAACACCTTTAGGATGAATTTAAGCAGAAACTGCGAGCCAGGCCTTCTCATTCGACATCAGTGCCACACCTCAAAAATTCGCTTCTGGAAGAATGATCAAACATTCCCATAGACACACTCCTAAGCCTTGTGGACAGCCTTCCCAGAAGAGTTGAAGCTGTTATAGTTGCAAACGGTGGGCCAACTCAATATTGAACCCTACGGACTAAGACTGGGATGCCAGTAAAATTCATGTGCGTGTAAAGGCAGGCGTCCCAATACTTTTGGTACCTAGTGTACATTGAGCATTAGTCAGAAGAGTTCGATACATTTAATGGTCTCATGTTATCAAATTATCTTGTTTGCTTAAAACTGTAATTTTATTGCTTACACCCTTACTATTATTGGGGTGTGCATCATTTTAGTGGTAGTTTTGGCTGCAAATTGTTGTTTATGTACTTTATGCTGTTATTCTACTGTTTATTTTTGATTTGTATATACACATTCTCCTTCCTAAGGAAGGTCTGTTGCAGCCTATAAAGCGGTACTGTGCTTTTTGATATTATATTGGATTTTACTGTAGAATCTGGACACTATTTCTTATGTCTCTCCAACATGTCCACACCTGGAATTTGGCATGGCATGCAAAGTACCATTTGCATCTTCAATGGGACATGCACAGAGAAACCCCATGCTAAATAGGTTAGCCCAGAACTGTCATTCTGTCATACTGTGCCATTAAGGCCAATAGGAATCTGCTAACCAACAACTGTCTATACAAGTTCTTATTGTCATTGGGGCAATATCTCGCATATTTAAGGTTTAGGTAGGCCTATTAAAGACACAACGTGTGTGGGTTAATAAGGACATTGCATCCTAAGTAATGCAGAACAATGAGGAAAGAGAAAAAAGTGGATTTTCAGGTGCCAAGTCACTGTTAGACCTTATTTAAAAAAATAAAAACTTTGTTACAAAATCAATGTATTTAAAAATAGTAAGAACAATTACACTCTCTCTCTCTCTCTCTCTCTCTCTCTCTCTCTCTCTCTCTCTCTCTCTATATATATTTATAAAATGCCTCCCTTTAAAACCCCCACTATATATATTAGTACATTCGGACAACTCTGCATGTGCTGGGGATGCTTTCACTGTAGGACAATACACCTCAAAACGTTTAATGGGTGAACCCCCTTCTGCAAAAGGAATAGGGGAGTACTTTAAGAACTAGAATCAAATATATATACATTTTTTTCTAGTGTTGGATAGAGTAGGGAGGAATAGGAACCCTTGCTTGGTTTTTATTTGCTGCCTGTGTTCTTTCTGGGGAAATATACCCTCTGTGTTTGTGCTGGTGATTATTGTCCTAGTGCAAAAAGTGATACACATTCCAAATTTTGGAAATAGAAAGGACGTTTTACAAGAGGGACACTTGTTCTGCTAACAATTGTTTAAGAGGGCATTTCTTGCACTTTAAAAGATTTCTTCTCCCTTGTTGTATGTACAGCATGGGAAGCAAAGGGACATCTCCTGAATGGGACACAGCCTAAAAAATGGTAGAGGTTTTATCCATCCTCTACACTATCCACTTTTTTACTTTAGATATGCTTTAAATGGGACTGAAGACTCTGTTCCCTCCACCATGTGACAGTGTTGGGTTGGGTGAATGACTGACCAGTTACCAAACAACAGTATTATTACATAGGAAGAAGAAACGTGAGTTACATGCATCCCATACATAAAAATGCTTTTCTTGCACAATTTTCCTTAAGAGTTACCAAAACCATATAATATGAGGTTAAACCTAAACATTTTAATTTGTATGCAATCAGGCAGACCCTTGCATTACATAGTTGAAGGTAAATCTAAAGAAAATTGAATAAGAAATTGTATAATGTATGGCCAGTTTAAGTGTTGCTCTTTGCTGAAAAGAAAACGGCCTCATGCAGTGCAACTATCCCCACATCCCTATCCCTATTCTTACAAACAAATATAGTCTTTTCTGCAATTTTTCTTTTGTGTGCATATTAAGGCTCTACCATGTTGAATAGATGTAGTATTTATTACATTATAATATTAAATCTACCATGCTGGATAAATTCATTGTTGAATGTGCTTCATTATCAATGCCCCCTGCTATAAGTGTGTAAATTTAATAAGGGAAGATGATATTTACCTATACACATCTCTCTGAGTTTTGTTCAGAATAAATACATTTTCTGTATTTATTGTGCAATAGGGTTTGGTTGCCACATGAGTGTATCCTGTGGTTTTCAGGTATAGCACATTGTGATATATTATTATTGTATTGGCAGTTCCCATCTGAATTTGGCCTTAGAGTGGGGGGCTTTCTATTGTCCTCGATGGTGCAGTACAATCATAAAGTCAACTCTTAAAGTCAATACATTGTATAAAGAACATAGGAAAGGGTTGTACAGAGGTACAATCTCCAAGCACCAATGTTGTCAAGGGAGTGAGGAAGGGAAAGGAGTCAGTCACATGCTCCACATACCCAAAAGTATTGAATATTTTTCCTCGTTCTTGGTGACCAAACAGATTGACAGGTGACACAAAAGAAAGTACACTATATTGCCAAAAGTATTGGGACGCCTGCCTTTACACGCACATGAACTTTAATGGCATGCCAGTCTTAGTCCGTAGGGTTCAATATTGAGTTGGCCCACCCTTTGCAGCTATAAGAGCTTCAACTCTTCTGGGAAGGCTATCTACAAGGTTTAGGAGTGTATCTATGGAAATGTTTGACCATTCTTCTAGAAGCGCATTTGTGAGGTCAGGCACTGATGTTGGACAAGAAAGCCTGGCTCGCAGTCTCCGCTCTAATTCTATCAGGTTGATGTCAGGACTCTGTGCAGGCCAGTCAAGTTCCTCCACCCCAAACTCACTCATCTATGTCTTTGTGGACCTTGCTTTGTGCCCTGGTGCGCAGTCATGTTGAAACATGAAGGGGCCAACCCCAAACTGTTCCCACAAAGTTGGGAGCATGAAATTGTCCAAAATGATTTGGTATGCTGACACCTTAAGAGTTCTCTTCACTGGAACTAAGGGGCCAAGCCCAACCCCTGAAAAACAACCCTACACCATAATCCCACCAAACTTTACACTTGGCACAATGCAGTCAGGCAAGTACTGTTCTCCTGGCAACCACCAAACCAAGACACGTCCATTGGATTGCCAGAGAAGCATGATTCATCACTCCAGAGAACATGTTTCCACTGCTCTAGAGTCCAGTGGCTGCGAGCCTTACACCAACACCACTCACTGCATCCGATGCTTTGCATTGCACTTGGTGATATAAGGCTAGGATGCAGCTGATTGGCCATGGAAACCCATTCCATAAAGCTCTCTGTGCACTCTTGTTGTGATAATCTGAAGGCCACACGAAGTTTGAAGGTCTTTAGCTATTGACTCTACAGACAGTTGGCAACTTCTGCGCACTGTGTGCTTCAGCATGCTCTGACCCTGCTCTGTCATTTTTGTGGCCTACCACTTTGTGACTGAGTTGCTGTTGTTCCCAATTGCTTCCACTTTGTTATAATAACACAAACCGTTGACCGTGGAATATTTAGTAGAAAGGAACTTTCACAGATGGACTTATTGCACAGGTGGCAACCTATCGAGGTACTACACTTGGCTTCACTGAGCTCCTGAGAGCGACCCATTCTTTCACAAATGTTTGTAGATGCAGTCTGTATTCCTAGGTGCTTGATTTTATACACCTTTGGCCATGGAGGGGATTGGAACACCTGAATCCAATGATTTGAAGGGGCGTCCCAATACATTTGGCAATATAGGTGTCCTTTTATCATGCAGCGGTAAATGACCACTGCTCAGTTCTCCGGCATTCTCTGAGAAGACAGTTCACCTTTGAATGCCTTTTTATGAAGCGGTGTAGATCATTTCTCCGAATGAAGGGAGAAGTGATCTACAAACGCATTGAACACTGGAAAACGGTTGATTTTACTATAATCTCGCAAGATTACAGTAAGAAATCAGTCAAACACCGTTTACTAAGCAGCGGTAAATTATCACTGCTTCGTTTGCGGTTCCTCCGATTCTCCAGCTCTGAGCTGCAGAATCTGGAGGAAGAACACAGATCGCCAGTGAAGGGCTGACATTGCTCCTTCATATACTGGCCGTCTGTGTGCTGAGATGATCAGCGGAGAACAGGTTCTCCACTGATCATCTCTGTTTCCTAAACCACTAATGATCGGAGATCAGCAACGATCCTCAGGAACGCCGCTGATCTCTGTTTCATGAAAGGACACCATAGTGTATGTACAGATGAGAAGGGTGGCAGATAAGTGAACCTGTTGGTTTGCCTTACGGGCAAAGCAAAACTCCCATTACAGTATAAACTCAGGCAAAATGTTTCGCTTAGTTTTTAATACAATAGGGAGGATTAGAATCTATGTCAGGTTTGTAAATTTTTACTAATATTTGGCTTCATTAGATAGATTTGCCCTCACTTCCTGTCTTGCTGACAATGTTATATCATAAAGGAAGTAAAGGGAACTCTCCAACAGGCAACGCAAACGGATATAAAAATGCTTTTTTTTTTTTTTTAACAGATTAGAGGAAAGCTAGAAACCCTGTCAGATTGTGATGTCTGTCTGTGTTCCTGTTGAAGATCTTCCTTTACCTCATGATGAAACCATTGTCAGCAGTACAGGAAAGGGAGAAAGTAAGGGGAAATCTCTTTAACTGTGCCCAGATAGCAGAGAAAAATGCAATCGACTTTCTAATACTTAAAACTAGAAAAAATAATGTATTGGCCTAACATCGGCTTAATTTGGATGAAAGTAAAAATCCATTCACACTGCAATGTGTGCATTGATGGTGTGTAAAACCACTTGCATTTACATTTGTTTGCATGCTGCTGTGTTGTGTTGCATTTTAAAATGCGCTGCAATACTTTTTTTTTTGTTACTTAACTAAGCTTTAATTGTAAAGAAAACTTTAACTGACTGTTTTGACTCTAAGCACATTGCAGAGCACTCACTTGCCTTGCATTACATTGAGCCAGCACACCTGCTGTGAGTTGACCATAAAACAGCTTTTCTTGCTGCCATTGCCAGGTATTCTGCAGTGGAAAAATAGCAATTCTGTCTCCTTTTATTGAAATATTCTGTGGGGTTGATTTACTAAAACTGGAGAGTGAAAAATCTGGTGCAGCTCTGCATAGAAACCAATCAGCTTCCAGATTGTATTGCCAAAGCTTACTTGAACAAGCTGAAGATAGAAGCTGATTGGCTACCATGCATAGCTGCTCCAGATTCTGAGAGCTCTAATTTTAGTAAATCTCCCCCTATACCTGAAAGCCAAATACAATTCTACATTTTCCTATACTACTCTGCATCTGGGCACTGAAGACAGTTTATCATAATGTCTGTGCCCACGTTGAATTGTAAAAAGCAATCTAGACACTGACAGGCTTGGCAGAAACATATTTTTATAATTAGTGAACTGCTGCACGTGCAAACACTCTTCCTCTTCACAGATTTCCCTTTTTACCCAGCAGGCAGTTTGAAGCAAACACATGATTGCTGAATGAATGAGCTTTTAATAAATCAGCTTCATTTTTGTACTTTTCCAGACAAAAAAGTTTTGCTTTGAGTCCTGAATTATGAATCTAATGCAAGTCCTTTTAATACAAGTGTGTTTGACCTATGCAGCAGGTAAAAATATATATGGTTTGCATAACTTGGCACAGCTATGGAAGTATAAAAAATAAAGACTGAAGGCAACACCAAAGAAAGAAAAGATGGAGATAGAACAAATTCAAACTTCATTATTATTCTCCGGATGTATGGGGCCCCCAGTATGTATGGAAATGGCATTTAGTTACATTAGTCTATACCATTAGTCATGTCATAGGCCCAGATCAAACAACTTGTAACTGTTGTAAGTAATTCTACGTGTGCTTCTGTAGATGGGAAAACACTGGCACTAATGGCAGAGACTTGGCAATAGCAAAGGAACATACAGTTCTGCATCTGTTGATGCCCTTTTCATTTGCTTGTTCTTTGTGATCTACCAACTCCATTAACAATACTTTTTTTTTCAAACAGAACAGAATAAAAACCAGTTCCTGGATTTTTTTTTCTATTTGCACATTAAAAACTGGGACATTATTCAGTAAACGATTGCAAGCATAGCCACAAAATAGCAACATCATGTTTACGTCTTGTCAGGTACCAACCTACATTGGACTTGTAAGACAAAGACTACAGAGGGATAAACAGCAAAGTGTATTCAAATCCTTTAATCTAAAAGTACAAGACAACTACAACTGTAAAGGAATCATTTGGGTTAGAGCAGCCACAGGCATCACCTTCCTAAGACTTTTACCACTAGTTAAGCTATTTTTGCCTCTGAGCATCAGTCTCTGAATGATTTGGGTATCTTTTTAAGCTCTTAATTACAACCACAACATTGTTTTTGCATGTCACATAAAGGCAGAGTTGACTTGTGTTGATCTCCTGTTACATGGATAAGCTCTGTTATAGAGGCAAGAGCCATTCCTGAAAAAGGCCCACAGATATCACTAATGAGGGTCTCAGGGTCAGGAGCTAGGCAGACTGGGAATATATCATCCAGGAAAATAACCCACCTCTGATCCTAGGCAGCCTTTACATAGGAAGGGAGGAGTGCTAGAGGGAAGAGATGCAAGAAGAAAGGACAAAAAAACTGGAAGGCTGGAAGGAGGAGGACAGTGAGGACAGGAGATGGACTTCCATCAGCTGTGTGCAGTAGAGGACAGCGCTAACTAACCGCAAACTCCAGCTTTCCTCCCCCAACTCTAATATCTGCTCTGTTAATCGCCATTACACTCATGTTCTCTGCAGCTTCCAAACTGGACTCAGGAATTGACGTACAAGACTGCAAGCAAACTCAACTGCCATCATTAGCTAGTCCTGGGGATTGGGGCATTCCAGGAAGGAAGAATGGATCTATGAACAGACAAATCAAATGTTTTACAACACAGGGAGTGTGTCCGATGAGGATTGGACACATACAATCATCACACATATTATACTCTGTCATTTCATTGCTGCTTCATTTATCCTATATACATTGCACAGCAAACATTTCACTCAGCCAATACATAGGACATTCATACCTATTATTACCTGCTATGTCCGACCTTCAGACTTCACCATCGGGGTTCTAGCACAGCGATCTCCCGAAATTCTAGCTACAGGCAATTCATCTCCCGGCAATAGAATCAGGGCAAGACAAAGATCGGGCATTCACAGGACAGTCTGGGTTATATACATACATATACATGCTTCCATTTACACACATCATATATGTATTCATATCATGCGAAGTCACCTACATATCACTTACCTTACATTGTGGAAGCCATTCACTGGGAATTCTTCTACTGCTTCATTATTAATGAGAATACATATATATATATATATATATATATATATATATATATATATATATATATATATATATATATATAATGTAATGTATAAGTGATATGTAGGTGATTCGCTATGTTGCACAAACACTGTAATGTAAGCCTAATGCAGGTGACTTGCTCTCTCTCTCTCTCTCATTCATATATATATATATATATATATATATATATATGTATATATATTTATATATATATATATATTTTATTTTTATTTTTTATTTTTTTTACACACACACAGTGTTATGTAAGTGATATGCACATGATTTCATACATATATATATAATAGCAGTAGTGTAGTGTATAAGTGATATGTAGGTGATTCTCTATGTTGCACACACAATAATGTAAGCTATACGCAGGTGATTTGCTCTCTCTCTCTCTTTATATATATATATATATATATATATATATATATTACACACACAGTGTTCTGTAAGTGATATGCACATGATTTCGTCGTATAAACGTAATAGCAGTAAAGTAGTGTATAAGTGATATGTAGGTGATTTGCCCTCTCTCTCTCTCTCTCTCTCTCTCTTTCTGATAAAAGAAAAGAAAAAAATAAAAGAGAGAGAGAGAGAAATTAAATCACCTACATATTACTTACATAACACTGTGTGTATGTAATGTGTATGTGTGTGTGTGTATATATATTATATATATATATATATATATATATATATATATATATATATATATATATATATATTTATTTTATTTTAATTATTATTATTTATTTATTTTTGCATACCACTTACATTACATTGTGTGTGCAATATAGAAAATCACCTACATATCACTTAGACCTTACATTATTGCATATATTTTTTTTCTCTCAAAAATAATAAAGCAGTAAAAGAATTCCCAATGAATGACTTACAGCATGCAGTTTGAATAACAGTATACACTTTGAACACTTTACTAGAGCAATAGACAGATATTAGGATAAATTTTAAAAAAGGGAATGTAAAGGGAAGCAAAGATTTTCAGCTAAAGGAAAAAAATATATTCGGAAATTTTTGCTACATTTACCATTAACATTTTGAAGTTGAACGGTTATAAATGTGCAAGAGAAACGGTTTTACAGAAGGAACTTTTCTGTCGGACGTGAAATGTTAAAAAAAGAAAAAAGAAAAATCCCTGTAGAATAAACACTACTAAAGTGTATGAACTTTTATAAAACGGGGAAATGGGCAAAGGACGAAAGGGCATCTTGTTGACATTCTCTGCAACTTATTCTAGCAGCTCTACCCTTCGGATCCTACA